CAGGGGTACAAGCTGTCAGTCATCAGGAAGCAGTTCAGGCTGTCATCAGGCAGGGGTTCAGGCTGTCAGTCATCAGGAAGCAGTTCAGGCTGTCAGTCATCAGGCAGGGGTACAGGCTGTCAGTCATCAGGAAGGAGTTCAGGCTGTCAGTCATCAGGCAGGGTACAGGCTGTCAGTCATCAGGCAGGGGTACGGGCTGTCAGACATCAGGCAGGGGTACGGGCTGTCAGTCATCAGGCAGGGGTTTAGACTGTCAGTCATCAGGCAGGGTCAGGCTGCCACCAGGCAGGGGCACGGCAGGCAGAGATCCCCACTTGGATACAGCAGAGCTGGATTGGAAAGCGCCAGGACCCTGGGCCCCTCTGGGAAGCACCACCTGCCGCAAGCTCAGAAGCCAGCTCAGCAGTTCTTTCAGGGAAAGAGACTTGGTCTCCGGGGAGTGGTAGAGACACGGTCTCCGGGTAGTGTGGGTGGGTCTTGGGATTTCTTTCTGCAAGCAGGAAAGAATAAAGAGAAAAGAAAAAGGGTGAGGCTGTGGGGCTAGCGGCAAGGTCAAGGCAGAATAACCTGGTGGACACACGGGTTCTGAGTCCTGCTGCTCCTCAGCCAAGACACAGCCTCCACCCCAGGCTGGGGATTCTCAGGACGCCTTTGGCAGGCTCCATGCCACGCAAGGGACAGGGTCTCCGTGAAAAAGACCTCAAGACTGAAGGGGGAAAGACCAAGGGGGATTTGAGCTCTTGTGACCCTGGCGATTCTGAGAGACCAGGCCTGGGGCAGGGCCTCCCCCAGAGGAGCCACCCTGCCACACCTGGACGTCAGACTGCTGGCCCCCAGCAGTGTGTGAGGACACATGTCCAGTGTTTAAGCCCCTGGTTTGTGGTGCTTGGACCCACGAGCCCAGAGCAAAGGTAAAGGGTCATGTGAGGAAGACCTGTGTGCAGAGGGCCAGGGTCATTCCGTTTCCTTCTGTCTCCTTCCTGATGCTCCCCAGAGGGGCTCCCCGGGTGCCACGCCCACCAACCCCTTCCTGCTGGGTGGGGGACCCTGCCGCACCCCCACCCTGTTCTTTCCTCCGGCACTTCTATGGTTTTCCTGGGCCTGGGCTATGGGGGTGATGCTGAAATCCACTTAGAAAGGGGGAAAATGGTCAATGCTGATGACATAAAATCTAGAGTTTGAAGGAGCAAAGACAAGGAAAGATAAGACCAAGTCTCAAGACCTGAGCTGAACTGTCGCCCTTGGGAGGCAAAGGTGGACGAAGGTGATGAACTTAGTGTGAGTCTTGTTGGATCAGGAACAAAGAGCCGGGGAGTCAAAGTCACCGGAGATTCTTTCAAAACAAAACTGAACACTACAACCAAGCAAGCCGCTCCCGAGCTGTCCATTAGGACTGCGGGCGCGAGTTCATCCCTAAATCAGTGCCCAGCAGGCTCCTCCCCTGGCCAGGAAGCAGGACAGGGGCCCAGCCCTCCTGCCAATCACTCTGAGAAGAACCAAAGAGAAACACGCAGAACTACGGCCTGAGCCCCTCACGACACGCAGCTCCCAGCACCACGAGCCCTGAAAGAAGACCTGCCCCCTCCTGCCATTCACTGTCCCCTCTGGGTTTGGTGCCCTCTGAAACCAACACCCATGGCTACAGGGCCACACTATCCCTCAACCACGGGTCCTCAGTCTCCGAGATCCAGCAGCAAGGGCGGAGGCTAAAATGCCTCCCTGGTGACCCCAGCCTGGGCGTTCCTCCCCCAACTCTCAGCTCTCTGTTGCACAAACACCGCGGCTTGTCCTGAGAGGACGTCCTTCCAGAACTGGAAACCGCAGCAGCTAAGGAAGGACACTGGGAGCCGCGGGGGCAGTGCAGGCGGAGGTCCCCGCAGATGAGAACAAGCGGGGAGCATGCGTGCAGGACCAGGCTGAGCTCACTGGGCCCACGGCGGGTCCCCAGCCGGCTCCACCGAACTCACAGATTCCCCCCAAACGCTGCCCCTGACCCAGGGAAAGTGCAGCCAAAGTCGTCACCCACAGCAAAGCAGTGAGCTCTAGGGAACAGAGGCCAGAGAGGGCTCAGGAGGACGGGGGGAGGGGGAGCCCAGGAGGACGGACGAGGGGAGGGGGCTTGGCGAACTGAAGGTGACCCAGAGAGAAGCACAGACTCTGCCCAGCTCCAGAGGCAGGTGGGGGCCCAGGAGAGGAGGCCGCCAACCAGGTGACCCTCTAACGCCCTCAGCTCGGTTCTCCAACTGAGCAGATCGTGGAACCCCGTGTACCATAAAACGTTCACGAACAGGCCACTAGGCCTGGTGACACAGAATGCAGGCGTTTTGAGCAACGCTGTTGGGCTCCTAGTGCTCACTCGGTGGGGATCTTGCCCGCCTCCCCGGGAGCACGGAGGGCGTCTGGAGAGACTTTGGTCATCATGACAGAGAAGGCGTCCAGTGTGAGGGGACCAAACTCCACAGCACATGAGGCAGCCCCTCCAACAGGAGTCCCCAGGCCCCAATGTCAACTGTGCAACAGTTGATGGGGTGGGGGATGGGGGGGATTTGCAATTCTTCTGCAAAAACTACTGAGGTGGCTGATTCGAGTGTTCCCTCCGCAGCAGTGGCCTGGGGATTCCCTGTGGTAGGGACTGTAGAGGTCACAGTGATGGGGGAAGGGAGAAGAGCTGACGGGCCTCAGAGCCCTGGGGCAAGCCCACCTGTCACTGGAGCAGGCTGACGGCCATCATCCTGTTGACTCAAGTTTCCTCTCAGCCGGCTGCAGAGGTGTGGGTCCCCAACAGGGAGAGCAGACACCCCAGCTGAGCGCGCCTTCCCCAGGTGGAGTGGCTGCCCTCCCCTGAGAGGGTCCTCAGTACCCAATGGCTCCAGCTCCTCCAGGTGGCCCTGCAGCGGGCATCGCCATCTCCCTCCTCTGCCGGCCCCCTTCTAGGACACAGCAAAAAACCTCACGCCAACTCCACCTCAGTCCATTTCCTGCACTGCCCACCTTCGAAATGCCACCTGCTGCGGCTCCCCCAGGGGAGGTGACCTTGTCTCACGGTGTCCCTGAATGTCACCACCGAGGACACTGACTTCCGTCCCCATGCCCACGGCTGCCCGGCTTCTCCAGCACTGGCTCCAGCACCAGGCATTAAAGACTGCAGCTCCCCCTGCCCCGGGGGCTCTGGGTCCACCTCCTGTTCAACTCACAGCTGCCCTTTCCCTTCCTGAAAGGGACAAGTGGTCCCCTCACAAACAGGGCCCGGCTGCGATACGTCCGCATCATGAAATTCTATGCAGCTGCTTATAAAATTGAGAGGCTGTGTGTGTCGAGGACTGTTCATGGAACAGGAGAAGCCCCGATGATGATGTTCACTAAGGAAAAGCGGATGTGGTGTGATCCCAAGTTTGTAAAAATAGAGAACAAAAGAAAAGAAAAAAGAAGATCGTCCTATCTCCATACGGAAAGAGCATAGACGATTTGTTTAGTTCTTGGTGCTTTTCTTTATTTTCTCTATGAATACTTATTTCTTGGATAATATGCAATTGAAAGCTGCTTTAAAAAGAAAGTGTATGTCCTCTCTTCAGGCTCAGAGCAATGATGTTCTTACGAGGGACACCCCACACCTGAAGCCACCAGCCGTCTTCTACCCTACTTGTTACAGAGAACCCACACAAATGGGCCCACAAAGGACATTTTCAGGGGACTTCTTTCTAGTCATGGGGGGAGGGGCAGAAGGGGCACTAGGGAGCCATAGAGTGTTTCATTGTCACTGGGACAGAGATATAAAGAATGGCTTTGATGGCACAAACCTGTCTTGACCACACAGCAGTGGCATGCTTTCGACCAGACGCCTTCTGTCCCACAACCTCTGACACCGACAGAATCTTCCAGAACCCAGCTGGACCTGCAACATGCTCCCCAGACCCAGGAGCCTGTCTTTGGAGCTGAAGCCAGAGCTCAGTGGGTTGGGGGTTGGGACGTGTATGGTTGTCCCAGTTGGTGGGCACCTCTGAAAGCAGCTGCCGGGCTGGGGGGGTGTGCCTGCCTTGTGCAAGGAAGACTTCCCGGAGAGAGAGGAAGCAGCCCCACATCTGGCCTGGTCAGCCAGAGGAACCGTGTGCAGTGTCCACCGCCTTCCTCACACATCAGAGTGTGCCCGAGGGGCAGGCGGGTGGGACTCACCTGAGGCAGGTGGGAGGTGGAAGATTCCATTCCTAGGGGCCTTTCCACCCGCCTCATTCACACCCATTTCTTGAGCACGCACAGGTGTGGAACACTGTGACACCCACACGTGGCCTTTCTGCAGAGCAGCAGTTCTCAGGTGGCAACAGCATGGGCGTCACCGGGGGCTCTGGGTGAAACACCGGCACTAGCCCTCCTCCAGTTTCTGACTCAGTGGGTCTGCAGGGGGCCCCACGGCTGCATTTCTAGCAAGTCCCCAGGCAAGGCTGCCATTGCTGGCCAGGGGACCCCACTTTGAGAATCCTTGAAGAAACAATAAGAAGAGACGCAGTGCCAGGGATGGCAGGACATGGGCGCTGCCCTCTGGACGTGGGGCCGCCTGCCTGGGCTGGTGTGAGCGGAAGGCAAACTGCTCTCCCCGTAAGCTGGTGTCTGGGTGGAGGGAGAGGAGCAGGGTCCGTCCTGCCCTTTGTTTCTCGGGGACCTCTGTGTCCAGGGACAGAGTGGTCTCCCAGCCAGCTCCCAGGAGGCAAGGGACTCATTGGGATTCAGCTGGCTGACAAACACCTGGAGGTTCTGAGATTGTGCTGAGGTCCGACTCGGGGATTTTGCCCGGGGAGTTTATCACGTTAAGTCGGAGGAGTAGGTAAAGAGGTGGCTGCGTCTGGTGGGGGAGGTGCGGGACCCGTGAAGATTGGTAAATTATTCACACATCTCTTTCCACGAGAATGCGGCTCGCCCTCCACTCAAGAATGCTTATCAACACTCTGAGATTTTTTTTTTCATCCATTTTTAAAGGAGGCGAAAGGAAAGAATATAATAACATTTAATTAAGAAATTAAGCCATCTCCTTCCTAAATATTCGGTTCTGCGTTTATTGCCTCCAGGAAGGGGGAGGGGAGAGTCCAACCACTGCAGGGAAATGGTTTCCATCATCTGCAAAATCCGATGCCCAAAATAGCCCCACGGTTGCCCTGGCAACTAGCATTTGCTCCCCCTCCCCCTCCCCCTTCCTTTGCATATTGCCGCATATTTCTATCATCTCTTTCCAGGCACAGTTCATAAACACGACGGCATAATAAAGAATGTTATCACCAATGACTTACAGCCCAGCTGCGCCCGGCGAGATAGGAAGTGGTAAGCGAATACAATTTCATGCAGTGAGGGCAACAGATTGATTGGGTGCCCTTCAAATGTGATGCCACTTCTTTCAGTCAGTCCAAATTCAGAAATAAAGTTGGTCTCGCCCTTCTCCGGCTGCCCTAGACAATGCACGCAGGGATAATGCCCGGGAGTCTCATTAGGGCTGGAAGGAGACAGGGATCATGCAATAGACTCCCAGCGCTCTCCCTGGCCTCCCTCCTCCCCCTTGTCAAAGGGCCGAGGCCGGGGTGCGGGCTTTTTGAATTAATTATCCTCTCTTCCCAAGGATGGTTTTGGTTCCTGTGGCCAGGGGCAGGGGGGGCGGGGGGGGGCGGCGGCTCTGGATGAGGGTCCGCAGAGGCTTTGCACTGCTGTTTCCAGCTCCTCGGGTTTGGGGGGTGGGGTGGGGTTGCTCTTTGCTGGTAATGTCAGGATCGAGGGCCCTCAGCACAACCCTGGAGAGCCACTTCTGTCCAGAGAGGTTTCTCTGAGGCTGTGAGGAGGGGAAGGGCTTCTCCCGTCCCCGCGGTTTATACAAGTCCTTCATGAATCCACTTCTCTGTCCTTGTTCCAGATGGGGCCAGAGCTGAGGGCTGTGCTTACAAAGATACGAGTGGCTGCCCTTGGGGGAGGGTGGACCTGTCCAGAGGAGGGAGGAGTCCCTGGCTGGGGGGTCCCGCGACCTCCTGAGGCAAGGACAAGGAGTCCAATCTCACCTCCCCTGCAGGAGCCTGTTGGGCCCTCCCTGGGTGGTGCAGGGACCGTACACTGGGCACCCTGGTTCTCCGGATCTGGTGGACTACACAAGCCAGGGGCCCCTGCTCTGCCCTCCACCACCTGTCCCACGCGTGTCCCTCCCAGGCCACTCTCAGCCAAATTAGACTGCCCACCTGAGCTCAGGTATGTCAGTGGCTGCCCCCCAACTCAGGGGAGTGTGGATGGAGGACAGAGGAGCCCCCGAGGCACAGAAGAGGATTGAGGAGGCTGTCGCTTGGGGTGGGGAGGGGGGTCAGGCATCAGGTAGGTCAGGGGCCACAGGGGCCAGTGGTTGGTCACAGCCTCCTGGGCCAGTCTGGCACCGTGCACAGAAGGCACAGCACATGTGTCAGTGGCAGGAGAGACCAGACTGTGCCCTCGGGTGAGCTGCCCACCATCTAGCCCAGGAAGACCCACTCGCCACACCTGGGCTGTCCCTGAGCTTCCTCCAGGACCGGGAGCCACGTACAGCCCGACTGGCCCTCCAGGGGCCTGCCGGGAGGGGAGGAGCTGGCGGACATGCCACCATCCAGGGTCACCTCCAGGTTGCGGGCCAGGATGCTGGACAGGAGGTGGTGTGGGGTGGGGTGACAGGGGAGGAGTTGTGCGTGGCTCACCCTTCCTGTCACCCTGGGGCTCTTGCTCTTCTGTGATTCCCAAGGCAGCTCCCGGGGGGAGTTTGGCCACTACCCTACTCTGTCCCCCAAACCATTATTCCTGAGCTGTAGGAGGCCAGAGGAGAGCCCCATCTTTACCCACCACAGCAGCCCCGAGTCGCCCGCTGGGAGCCCAGTGCCCAGGCGCTACCTGGATTTTATACGTGCCTGGGCCACAGTGGAAGTCAGGGTTCCAGATGGCATTTAGCACACCCACAGTGTCGCCCACCACTCTACCTGGTTCCAGGACGTTTCTCATCACCCAAGGAAGCTGCTTCCGTTTGACTGTGAGTGTCCCCTGAAGGCCCATGTGCAACAGGCTTGGTCCCCAGGGTGGCTCCTTTGAGGGTCACTGTGGGCCTAAAGGTAGAGGGGCCTTGTGGGAAGTACTGAGGTCACTGGGGGCATGACCTTGAAGAGGATCTGGGGACCCCAGCCTCATCCTCCTCCTTTGCATCCTGACCATGAGGTCAGGCCCACGAAACACTCCCCACCATTGCTCACGGGCGACCCAACAGAGGCCTAAAAGTCATGGGCCCATCCCATCCTAGACTGGAACCTCTACAACCAAGAGCCAAAATAAACCTTTTCTCTTCATAAGTTAATTATCTCAGATATTTTGTTATAGTGATGGACCACTGACTAATACAGGAACCCTGTGCTTAGCAAGCAGCTGTTCCCCAGTCTCCCCTCCTGCTACTGGTGGGCAACAATTAATCTGCCTTCCATATCTATGGATTTCTCTGTTCTGGATACTTCATATGAATGAAGTCATCCATACGTGACTAGTTTCTTTCATTTAGCTTAATGCTGTTGAGATTCATCCACATTTAAGTATCCCTACTTTATTCCTTTTCATGGCTAAACAGTATTCCATTATTACATACCAGTATTTGTCTTTCCACTTATCCAGACAGTGGGGTTCTTTGCAGCTTTGGGCTCTGATGAATACTGCGGCTATGAACACTCACGGACAAGTATTTTTTTTTTTCCAATTCTTTGGTGTAGGTACCATGGAGTGGAATTGCTGAGTCACAAAAGTAATTTTATATTTATATTGAGGAACCACTGGACGGCTTTCCATTTGGGTTGCAGCACTCGACACTCCTACCAGGAATGCGCAGGGTGTCGATTTCTCCATGTCCCCGCCGGCACTTGCCGCCCTCTGTCTGGGTCTGCCCATCGCAGCAGGTGTGAAGTGGATCTCCTGGTGGTTTCATTTGCATTCCCCTAGTGACAAGCAAGCTGGGGGTCTTTCCACGATCGTTGGCCGCAACTCGAATGTGACCAGGCAACATAGTCACACGTAACATGACGGGTTCATTTTGACATGACCACACACGCGTGGATGGTTTGCTCCATTTAAGTCCCCAGTGCTTCCTCCTTCCTCCCTCGTCCTTCTGCCTGTCTGCCCCTCTCTACTCTTCTGTCTTCTTTCCATTCACTTATTCTACAGACACACATAAAGGTGGGTTCGCTGTGGTACATTCACGTGTGTTCACAGCATGACTTTGCGCACTGCGTTCCGAAGTTCCTGCCTGTCTCCACCCTGCCTCCCCCACTCCAGTCCCCTTCCACTCGTCTCCGGGTATTTTCAGGGGACCCACCACCCCTCCCCTTGCTCCCTTGCTTTGCTCTGGCTTTTGCACAGGAGGGAACCCATCCAGCCCTTGACTCTCTGGGGCCCACTTAGTCCACTCACATGATGTTCTCATCCTGCATCTGGAAGATGCAAGACTCCACCAGAAGACACCTGATAAACAAGTTCAGCAGAGGACAGGATCCAAGGTCAACGTACACAGACCCATAGCTTTCCCAGACTCCAGCAGTGATTCCGCTGAGAAAGGAATCAGAAAAACTGTCCGGCTCATAAGTAATCTCAAAAACAAAACAAACCAAAAACAACTTAGGAGTAAGTCTAATCAAGGAGGTGAAAGACCTCTACAGGGAAAACTATAGAACACTAAGGAAGGAATCGAAGAAGACCTCAGAAGATGGGAAGAGCTCCCATGTTCATGGACAGGGAGACTCAGTATTGTTAAAATGGCCACGCCACCAAGAGTGCTGTGCGGACTCAGTGCACTCCCCATCAAAGTAGAACTAGGAAGAGCAGTTCTGGGACTCATTTGGAAAAATGAAAGACCTAGAAGAGCCAAAGCAATACTCAGCAAAAAGAGCAACGCTGGAGGATCCCAAAGCAGATCTCAGAGTTTACTTCAGAGCCATAGTAACAAAGGCCACAGGGCATTGGCACCAAGACAGACATGAAGACCAGTGGGACAGAACAGGAGACACAGAGACGGGCCCACACAGTCACGGCCATCTGATACTCGACAAGGTGCCAAAAATAATATACACTGGAAGAAACAGCCTTTTAACAAATGGAGTTGGAAAAGCTGGATATCCATATCTAGAAGGATGGAACCGGGTCCCTATCTCTCACCCTGCCCAAAATTCAAATCAAAATGGATCCAAGACCTGGGAGTCAGGCAGAAACTTTGCAGCTGCTAGAAGGAAACATAGACTCAACACTCCAACGGATGGGCTGGTGCAGGCGCTCACGGGAGGAGAGCTTTGTCCGCCTCTGCTCCGACAGGGACCTAACAGCAGAATGCACGGCGGCGAGCTCCCAGAGCCGCTTCTCCTGCTCCTCCTGGCCAATAAGGGAGCCATCCACACAGATCTCCATTCCCAGGACCAGGCACTGCCCACTGGACCCTGGGACACTGTGGCTTGGGACAGGATCCCTCGGAGACAGGGTTTCCACCTCTTCTCTTAGACGTTCCTGGTTGTAGAAGACCAAAAGGTTTCAGAAAAGATTGGCATTCTCCACTGTTCCAGGGAGAGCACCTCAAATGTCCCTCTAAGGGGAAAGGGGGGCACATCTGCACCCACCACACCCATTTCCTCCACGCCAAATAAGGTGGGGGAGGGGTTTCTTCCCGCTCTTCGCACACAGGAGGTTAGTGAAGTGTCTGGAGGACACTTCCGAGAAAAGCAAAACAAAATCAACTTCACAGACAATGAGGGTCTTTGTAGGACAAAAATCCACCATTATTTTTTTCCCTCTCCGAAAACCTTTACACCCTGACGCCATCAAACATCTCGATGGGCCATCAGATGATTGGGTCTCATAATCTATGGGACCATTAAATGCAGGAAAATCTGCGGAGAAGTGACACGGTGACTCTGCCCCTCCCCACCCCTGGTGCCTTGGCGGCTCCCTGTGTTTGTCATCGCAGGTCAGACACCCACTTCCTCTTTGTCACTCTGCAACGTGACAAACGTCCCTGCACCCGACTCGGTCTCATCAGTCTGTGAGCTTGAGGGTTGTCATCCTTTGTCCTGGAGAAGAGCCTGCAGGGGACAGGGACACTGCACAAGATTCCCCTCGGGGTTGGAGGGGGCGCTGAGCAAGGAACTGTGGCCCCACGAGAACAGGGGTCACGGTGGCCGCCCAGCCGCCTCCCTACACTGAGTTGGCTGTTATAATAGAAGGGCCATTCCACATGGCCACCTCGTCCCTCCTGCAACTGCAAGCTCCGTCTCCTACAGCCGCGGGGCACAGAGATCCTCCCCTGAACCCCCCAGTGCCTTGCTGGTCCTCCTCTTCTGTGGTACCTGGTGTTGTACTGGTCAGGAGTGGACCAAGGGGTCAGCCTGGGCACCCTCTCCTCCTCCTCGTGCCCCCACCTCAGCACCACGAGAGCAGAAACAGCAGCCAAGTGGCTGGAAGGGCCACGCTGTCACACAGGACACACGTCACCCATGCTGTACCAGAGGAACGGCATCTTGGGGAGGAAGGATGATGGCTCTCCCTGGTTCAGGGGACTGGGAAGGCCCTCATGGAGGACTGACGTTTGCAGAGAGCCTCTGGGGACGTGGAGGGCTGCTGCGGCCCTGAAGGCAGGGTGGGGCAGGGCTGCGGGGGAGGCCAGCTGGAGCGAGGGCAGGAAGTGGGCAAACTGCTGCCCGGGCTCAGGGGGCCATCTCTCAGGACGCTGGGGAAGGGATGGGGGGCAATGGAAAGGAAGGGGAGGCTCCGGGGAAGGCCAGGCCCCAACCCAGGCCCAGGGGCTGTGCTTCCTTCTGCCTCCCCCAGACCTGGCCAGGTGAGCCGGGCTCGGCTCCTGAGGCCCTGGGGCTGAGGTTAGTGGCAGGCCAGTGTCCCCTGCTCCGCCCCAGGAGGTGTTGCCCCACGAGCCCCAGCACCTCTCTGCTGACTCTGGTCCCCAGATCCTGGGCTGTGCTCCCTCCCCAGGGTCACACCTACTCACCCCCGCCACCCTGGCGGACACGGCTTAGCCTGCCCAGCCCTGAGGTGGCTGCCGGCTCCTGCTGTCACCTGGGCCGTTTCCGCCTCACTGCAGCCCATTCCCCGGGCGGCAGGTGGGGTGGGTGCTGGGTTGGCTCAGCCCAGTTTGAGACAGCCCATTGGCACAGCCTACCCTGGCTCCAAGGTCAGCAGAGTGCCCTTGAAATTGGCCACAGCGGGAGTATTTTCATCATGGGCATGAGGAAACGAGGCCATCAGGACTGCCCCAGGGGCCAGCTGTGGGACACTCAGCAGCCCACCTCTGCACCACGGTGCAGGACTCCATCGCGTCTGAGGTTCCCCTCTGTGCCTTGCTCTGGGTGGGTACAGCTGCTGCATTGGCACAGCAAGGGACAGCTGAAGAGCAGCAGAGACCTATGGTGTGAATACGGGCAGTGTCCCCAGGCTTTGTGTTTCAAAGACTTGGTCCCCAGGGTAGACCTGCTGGAGATGCTGTGGGCCTGGTGGGAGGTCCTCGGGTCACTGGGGACGTAGCCTCCAGGGGACCTAGGGGACCGTGGGTGGAGAGGGCATTCTCTCCAACGTGCACGGCCACCCTCACCAGAGGCCCAAAGCAAGGGGTCCCCTGACCTCCAAAACAGTGAGCTCAAGAACCCTCCTTGTCTTCCCAAGAAGCCGGCCTCCAGTATCTCCTCACAGTCGCGTGAAGCTGACGCATGCCGACCCTCAGGCTGGGGTCCGCCTTCTGATCAGCCTACATCAACAGCTTCCGCGAGATACACGGCCTGGCGCTCTCCACATTGGCATCAAGGTTCCGTCTTTGATGATATCACAAGTCCCTGCAAAGCAGAGGTTGCCACAGTGTCACTAACTGCCACTTCACCTTTCTGCAGTCTCCACAGAGGGAGGAGGAAGCTCCACACAGGTGCTCCTCCTCTCCTCCTTGGTGCGTGTGAAGCCCCTGGGGAAGTGCTTACAAGAGTTGCTGCTCAGACCTGCCCTGGGGAGGCTGAGAATCCACACTGGCTCCCAGGCAGGGGCTCAGGCCTGCCCTGGGACAATCAAAGCCGGACCAACACGTCCCACCCCTCACATGTCAGGAGGACGGTGTCACCAGGAGCCAGTTGACTGTCCATGGGACGCCAGCATTTCTGGTGTCCCGCAGACCCGTGGTTTCCGTGACCTCTTCCTGCCAGCTGTTCCATGAGGTGGAGACCAATTGCCACATGTCCTTGGGATGCCACTAGCCACGGGCAGGGCTTCATAAGGACTTCTCGGCTCCCCGCAATCCATATGTAAAACACTTGGGAAGAACAAATAATTCCCACACAAACAGCAAAAGGAGAGGCAATTTTCATCAACAGAGACCCCATAAATCTTTATATATTTTATGAATCTCACTTACGTTTCTCGTCTGACTCGTGCATAAAACTTCTTGAGATTTATACAAGCCAACTGCATCCGTCATCCCCTTCCCGCGTGGGCTCTATATCTTGATGACCTTTTAGAAGCCAATGACGGCTTTTCTGTTGTTATCCATAATTGGAAAAGCACTGGAGATAAGAAAATTTATGGCGCCGAATGATCTACCTGAGCAAAGCCATAAAGAATAGCGGGTCTCTAAAAGAGGGCGGCGGGAAGGTACTGGCCTGTTTATCAACCTTATCTCCATCAGCCAGGGGCCTCTGTAGCTCGCTCAGGCCGACTCCCGGAACCCGCAGGTGGCCCACCAGAGGCTGTGCCGGCCTCTGTGGCTTCAGGGCCGCCTAGGATCAGCCTTCTCCGTGGATGAAGGTCAAGGAGGCGCTGTCCTCCCCCGCCCAAGAGCACTCCTGCTTTCACGCGGACAGACCGAGCTTCAGTGGAGTCCGGGATGGGCAAGGACGGAAAGATAGATGGGGTCCCGGGGCACTTCCTCAGCCCCTCCAGCCCCCATGGCTTACTGAGGGCCTACTGGGTGCCAGGTGCTGGTCAGCAGGCTGCGGATACCGCAGTGAAGAGAGTAAAGGAAACGTCCTACCACAGTGCCATTTATGTGGGGTTGGACCTGAGTCACAGTCCTGTGTCCAGCCACAGGAAGGAGCCAAAATGACCCTGCGTGGCCAGAAGAGGACCAGTCAGTCCTCCTCCCTCTGACTGGCCTTGTGGAACCTGACTACCCACCACGCAGGGATGATGAGCTGACAGAATTCACGGTGTTAATCCTGGCCACCAGGAGAGCATGAGCATATCAACCAGCAGAATTAAGCACCACTGATGTACGTACGCGGAGCTTTAACTCCTGAGCATGCCTTCTAGGTCTCTAAGGAGCTCATAGTTGGTGGCTCATGGCCACCTGGGGGCAAACATCCTGTCCCTGAGCTAGAACAGGGGTGGGGGTGGGGGGAGTGCCTTGCTCCTGGAACTACACCTCTCAGGGTGGACAGCAGAGCTCAGAGGCCTGAGGGGCTCCCATCCAGAGCGCCACCTCTTCCTGGCTGAGCCAGGAGACCAAGCACCTCATTCCCCTAGGCCTCCAATTTCCACAAGTGGAGAGGGTGGCCAGTGAGGAACCCCAGACAGCAGCGGAGGGAAGGGGTACCGGAGACCAAGACCCACAGCAGGCAACAGGAGGAGCCCAGAGCCCACCACTCAGCCCGGGCCCTGGCCACCACACATCTGTGCCTGAGAGCGCTTCGCATGGACGGGTGATTCCTGATGCCCGACTTGCCAGCCCACATTTGAGAGCCTCACGGGCTTCTCATGGACCAACAGTGCCCCACAAGAGCAGACGGGCAAAGTGAGTTATTAACGACGGGTTGTGGTTCTGAGCTAGCCAGTGGCCAGTCCCTGGGGCCATTTCAGAGGCTTCCTCCGGGGTACCTGGAGGAACCCCAGAGGCCTGTGGTGTGTGTGCACACATTCACAGAAGGGGCCCTTGTGCCCAAGGGGCACGACCCGCCTAAGCCAGGGCTGCTGCTCCCCAGCTACCTTTCTCAGGGAGACTCCAGGCTTCCTCTGCCCTGGGAACACAGCCTGAGGGACCCCAACTCCCACCTGGACTCCATGTCACCTGACAGGGCACAGCATGAAGGCAATACGTCCTAGGCATGGAAGAAATGATCTTGCAGTGAAGAGCCCTGTGGCAGACCTCAGACCTCCGTCCGCAGAAAGGCTTCTGGGAGGCCGGCCCTGGCTGGCGTCCGGGTGCGCAGATTTCAGGAGGGTTACCCCAGACCTTGCTGATGGGGACTCACTGCGCCTAGACCCTTTGTGCCAAGGTTTGTGATCCCCCACTTTCCACCTAGAATCCAGGTGCATGCTCCATGCCAAGCCCTTCATTCCATTATCTCAACCGGCCCGCGCCAGTCCTGGGAGGGTGCTGCTGTCACCCCATTTTACAGAAGGGGAAAGTGGAACCAGGGAGCCCGGGTCAGACAGGGGCTTAGACATAGAGGTCAGAGGCGTGTAGGCAGAAGATGCCTGTGACCAGAGCCCAGTGAGAAGGTTAGGTGCACCATTCAGAGGAAGGAAATTCTGATGCACACGTGGATTGACCCTGGGAGACACGATGCCAAGGGGCACAAGCGAGTCACAACAGGACAAACGCTAGCTACATGGCCTCACTCACAGGAGGTCCCTAGAGCAATCAAATTCATAGAGAAGGAAAATAGAGTGGGGTCCCAAGGGCTGGGGGAGGGCAGTTGGTGTTTAATGAGGACACTTTAGGAAGATAAAAATATTTCAGAGATAGATGGTGGTGATGTTGGTACACACTGCAGGTGTATTCAATGCCACCGAACTATCCACTTAAAAATGGTCAAAATGGTGAGTTTTACATTGTGTATATTTTACTACAACTTAAAAAAAACAACACTTCAGGAATTGGGAGTGTAGCTTGGTGGCACAGTGCTTGCCTAGCATGCTCAAGGCCCTGGGCTTGATCCCCAGCACAAATTTTTTTTTTTTAATTTAATTAAAAATATTTTTTCATCACATCAGTCACTCCCGCTTAGCCCCGCCCACATGCCATCCCCTGGCCCCTGGAAGGAGATCCCAGCTTTTTCTGCTGGGGCACAAAGCCCTGCAACCTGATCTGGCCCTGCTGCCATCTCCCCTCTGCCACCCATGTCATCTTCTCTCTCCCTTGAACATGACAAACTTGTACCACCTCGAGTCTTTGCACCTGCTGTCCCTCTGTCTGGAAATTTCTTTATTTCATTTTTCAGACTTGCTGGCTCCTCCTTGTCATTCAAATTTCTTTTTCAATGTCACTTGGCTCAGAAGGCCCTGCCTGGCCACCCTATATAAAGTGGGGTCCCCTCCCCTAGCTCATCACCCTGATTCAGCCTGCAGAGAGCACACACACCCAATCTTCTTCCTGCTGTTCATTTCTTTTCTTTTGAACAAACTGTCCAAAAGAAGAGGAACCTAGCCCTGTGGACAGAGTGTGGCACACGGAACCCCCCCCTTCTCGGGGAGGGGGGCTGGAAGGAAAGAAGGTGCTCAGCAGTCACAGACCTTCACAGGGCCCCCTGCAGGGAGGTGACCTGGAGAGGAGACAGGGAGCTGCTGTGCAGCCCCACACAGCCCCCCATCCTGCAGCAGCTCTGGAGCTGGGGGGCCCTGGAGTTGCCCCAGGGGAGACAAGGCGACCAGGCTTCACCCACCGTGTCTGCCGGGCATGGGGAATACAGGCAGCTGGCAAAGGCGGGTGACTC